TACTCAGGGAACCATGGTTACATAAGTAACCTGAGACGATTTTGACTGCAGCAGTGGAGAACAAAACTATCTATACGTCTGATTATACCTTCATACTTTGGCAAGTGTCAGATTTTTGTCCACAGTGTTTTAGTTGCATTTGTTTTGGTGTTTTTATACTTGTATTTTTTTCAGTGATAACACTTGAGCAGTGGTGCCCAACACCAAACATAATTATATCACAGGCATAGTTACTAACCTGGGGTGAGATTTCTAAAATTGATGGATTATTCAAATAGAAAGTTGGTTGTGCTTGCATATGTTACATTTTATTAATGTTAGTTTGTAATGTGTTTCCCGTGTATGCATGTTAATGTTCTATCTAAAGATAATATTTACTACATGCATGCATGTCATTTTCTAAGTGCAACGAAACTGAAGCTGAGTAACACACACATTAACATATCCATCTACAGATTATTTACTAGATTCACTGAAATAAGTTTTTGTCAACTGAAACGTATAGTATTGAGTGCAATGGTGACCCTCCTCCTACGTTTGAGCCCAATTTATTATTACAACATAAATTAATACACGAACCAAAAATAAAAATGCATATAGACATTTTGTTTGACAACATTGTTACATGTTTCCGAAAAACCTAAGACGGTGCTGAAACCTTTTGATAGTTTTAAACCATCTTAGTTCAAACAAAATAAAATAGGGTAAAATATGACCATAGTAGACTAGAGCATGTATTATAAGAATACTCACCCCAGTAACTTGTTAAAACTGAAAGAGGAGCGGGACTCATTTTGTTATCCAAGAATGGAAAGGAGGCTCATACCGATACCCAAAATGATACGAAAAATTGAATACAGTACATATTTATACATATCATTGTGCATTTACTGTATAAATGACTGACATCTAATAGTGGCAAGAAATGATGTAAAATGTTGCCTGTTCCAGTTACGCTTTCCTGACTCTTTTTTTGCTTTTTATTAATTGATGACAATAGAAGACTTTTGCTCATTTTTGGCCTAAAAGGTGCATGCAGTATGATGTATATCACTACATTATACAGTATTCATCTATTTACAACATTTGTACAGGTGACTGTACGTTTTACCAGCCGTGACCAACACATGAAAAACCGCAAGGTTACAAATGGCATAGAAATTTCAAACACTTCAATTTTTTACATTTGCGCTTTAGAATGCACAAATAATAAGCGTATACAAATAAATTCTCGGAAACATTTATTAATATTTGATTGATTGCTTTTACCTCACATAGGCCTGACAGCCATGCATTTGAAGAAGGTTCCCGAAATTTCTTTAGTGCTTGCTCTTTAGGGGCTAAAAGGACATGTAGGCATGCAATACTCGGATCTTCTGCTGTTTGCTCTACACGATTCAGGAATAATCTTACAGATGCAAGTTCTCACTGACTGCCCCTTCTGCGCTTTTTTGTTTTCTTTTTTGCTACAACTTTTGCTTTATGCACAATGTATACTTTCTAGAAAAAAAGATGTAAACATAGACAAACCAACAATTCCACATTACATAAATGCACAAAAAAAAAAAAAACATCCTAAAATGCACTTTTGAAAAAAAACCCCCAAAACATTACGTAGACTGGAAAAACAACAACAACACAATGCAACTTAAATGTTTTCAGTGGGCTCACGTTTCCAAGAAAGGGTCTTGCTGGAATCTGTAACATAAAATAAGGCCAGCCTATTTTTTTCTAACTATTTTAAAGATAGAGATAGGAAAACCAGTAAACTACGTTGAATAGACCAAATGCAGTGGGAAAGAAAATGCGGGCGTAAGAGTCTATCTTAGTGACACGGATGTGCAAACGGCCGTGCCGCCACGCTCCTGAGCGACAGTCCTCAAAGCAGCAGAAGAAGCTGGAGCAGTCCTTCCCATCCAGACACTCGTAGCCGTATTCCTCGTCCCGCTCCTGCATGTGGGTGGCGTTGTTCATCTGGATGGCGGTGGCTGAGCGCGGGCGAATGTCCACAGTGGGGGCCTGCTTTTAGAAGAGAAAGCAAAATCAGCAAGAGTCCCATCAGATACACAGGACATCTCGACCAGCTGTCAGGGGCTGCGTTCAAACGTCTGCCAGTGGATGCTTTGCACCTAATATTGCAAGTAGAATGCATTAAAAGATGTGCAACTGCAATAGTTGGCTGTAAAACAGGCTTCTTGATTTTTCTTTCTTTCTTTAATACTTAAATAGCAAATTATGTATTATGGCTTTTCATTATGCCTGTGTTTTATATTGTTGTGCATTGATTATAGTACACTAGTATATGCACCATGCAAAAATAAAGCATAACTGCATCATTTACTTATTAGAATGGGTCCCACTTTTTATTAAGCGGCCTTAACTCCTGTGTACATACAACAGAAAATAAGTGCGATGTACTTATTTTGTTCATATTGTACTGCAAAACACTTTTGCTGCTATTGAGGTGCGATACGGGTAAGTTTAGGGAAAGGTTGGGTAGATTAAGGGTGGGTTAAGGTGTAAGGGATGGGTCAACAGTGTAATTATAAATGTAATTACAGAAATTAATTAAAGATGTAATTACATGCAGGTATTTTTAAAATATACTGTAAGTACAAACGTGTACACAATAAGTGCATTGTACCAAATGATTAATTTAAATGTAAGTACACAGTAGTTAAGGCCACTTAATATAAAGTGGGACCCTAGAATGACGTCATCAGAATGACAAAGTCACTACAGCAACGTTTCCCATGTGATACCACATGGCTCTGTCTAACATGGTACTAAGTGTCAACACAGAACAGCTAAATAATTAGGTATTAATATACTTTCAGTCTTATATCTTGGCCAGCAACTGCACTAAAATATAAGTCTAAAAATGCACTTGCAATACACAAATGTTATGAGACCTCCATGTAAATATTTCCCATCAAAAGCAAGAGAAATAGGATCACTGGGACATATCCACATTTCTGGATTCACAATCATTTTGCCCAGCACTGGAAGAGTGCTTCAAATCCCTTTGAAAAACGAAGCATGACCAGATGTTCACGCTGGCTTCTCCGGGTGCACATTATGCAGCATTTAGGACAGAGCCGCGGGCGAATGTCCACAGTGGGGGCCTGCTTTTAGAAGAGAAAGCAAAATCAGCAAGAGTCCCATCAGATACACAGGACATCTCGACCAGCTGTCAGGGGCTGCGTTCAAACGTCTGCCAGTGGATGCTTTGCACCTAATATTGCAAGTAGAATGCATTAAAAGATGTGCAACTGCAATAGTTGGCTGTAAAACAGGCTTCTTGATTTTTCTTTCTTTCTTTAATACTTAAATAGCAAATTATGTATTATGGCTTTTCATTATGCCTGTGTTTTATATTGTTGTGCATTGATTATAGTACACTAGTATATGCACCATGCAAAAATAAAGCATAACTGCATCATTTACTTATTAGAATGGGTCCCACTTTTTATTAAGCGGCCTTAACTCCTGTGTACATACAACAGAAAATAAGTGCGATGTACTTATTTTGTTCATATTGTACTGCAAAACACTTTTGCTGCTATTGAGGTGCGATACGGGTAAGTTTAGGGAAAGGTTGGGTAGATTAAGGGTGGGTTAAGGTGTAAGGGATGGGTCAACAGTGTAATTATAAATGTAATTACAGAAATTAATTAAAGATGTAATTACATGCAGGTATTTTTAAAATATACTGTAAGTACAAACGTGTACACAATAAGTGCATTGTACCAAATGATTAATTTAAATGTAAGTACACAGTAGTTAAGGCCACTTAATATAAAGTGGGACCCTAGAATGACGTCATCAGAATGACAAAGTCACTACAGCAACGTTTCCCATGTGATACCACATGGCTCTGTCTAACATGGTACTAAGTGTCAACACAGAACAGCTAAATAATTAGGTATTAATATACTTTCAGTCTTATATCTTGGCCAGCAACTGCACTAAAATATAAGTCTAAAAATGCACTTGCAATACACAAATGTTATGAGACCTCCATGTAAATATTTCCCATCAAAAGCAAGAGAAATAGGATCACTGGGACATATCCACATTTCTGGATTCACAATCATTTTGCCCAGCACTGGAAGAGTGCTTCAAATCCCTTTGAAAAACGAAGCATGACCAGATGTTCACGCTGGCTTCTCCGGGTGCACATTATGTAGCATTTAGGACAGAGCCACCTGAGGCTGTGCGGAAACGGGTCATGTGACTCGCTTCTCAAAGGGTTTCGCAGAAGCGTTTGGAAAGCACAAGAGCACAAATAGCCTGCCATGTGGAAAGAAACAAATACAGTGGAATTCGCAGCTTTAACTGAATGAAATACGACAACCTTCAAAGAGAAAGTTCCTCTCCTGTCTTACATTTTCTACATTTATGATTTTATTTTTGTCTTTAACTGTGGTTCTCAACTGGTGAGACAAAAATAGGTTGTACATCTGAAAGGATCGCAGGGGGAAAACAATAAGTACATTAATATGTAATATGAAAAAATTGCTCACTTAAAATAGTCTACTAGAAGTTCATAATTAGAACAAAGTTAAGAACCCATTTATGTGCATACTCACATGTTGTGAATTTGGCAAAATTTAAGATGTAATTTGTGTAGAAACATGAATAATTTGTCAAATTTTTAAAAATCAAGGTCCGGAAGCAAAACTAGTTGAGAACCTCTGGTATGTTAATTTCACATTGATCTAATTTCCTCTTTTCCGAATTCTTGAGAACTATCTTTTAATCCTTAATAGAAGCTAAATGTAGGCCTGTGCCCTCATGCACATTGAATTTTAAAAGATAACTACGGCTAAATCTGCCAAAGCCATCAGGCTCATGCTCTTTAATTGGGATTACGCTAATCAGTGTGGTTGTCTATTTCAAGCTGTTAAGGCTCTGCCGACTATTTCTGTCAGGTTTAAAGCCTCAAACACGCAGAGGAGGAAGGCGGCCACTTTTTAATTAAAAGAATGATGCAAGTTTTTCAGCCATTGCTGTTGTTTTATTGCATTGAAGTAAAATAAGAGGCGAGTGTGCCCCACTGCTTTTCACAGCACGGGAGGTTCAGTGCTAAACTTACTAGATGTTAGTGCAGTGAATCTAAAGACCAAACACAAGAGCAGTGTGGTTGCGCAGAATGCAGAAACATGCATGATTAGTGAACTTTACATGAGCAATATACCTTTGAGGAAAAGAGCCGCAGGAGCTTTTGTCCACACAGGAAACAAAAAATATTAGAAATTGAAACAAACAAATACAAACAAACCAACAACAACAACATAAAATTAACATACAGTATAATGCAAAAAAGACTCTGAAAGTGGAAAGAGAACAAATTACTGCAACCTCACACATATACATAGACACAGAGAAAGGGTGTGTAAGGCAGCATATAATAATTTATGCATTTAGCAGGCGCTTTTATCCAAAGCAACTTACAGTGCATTCAGGCTATACATTTTTTACCAGTACGTGTGTTCCCTGGGAATCGAACCCACAACCTTTTGCGCTGCTAATGCAATGCTCTACCACTGAGCCACAGAAACAAGCATATATGAACAGGTTCACTGCATGTCGTAAAATACAGACTAGAAATGACTGCTCTAGTGCATTAATTTCAAATACGATCAAAAATGCAATCACATATAGTATAAACTATTAGGCCTGTCAGAATTTAGAGCTTGGAAAAATCAGGTCTCTAATCATATAAGGGCAAACAATCATTACCAAAGAACAAAAGACAAACATAATCATCTAAGGAGGAGACTGGTACTCTTCAACTCTGCAGAGATCAAAACGCTTCTTCAGCAAAAGCTGGTTGTCGTTTTATTTGAAGAGTTTTACTTCAGAGCGTGCCTTTGACTGGGAACCGAACTGTCGAATGTGGTTTGAAAATCATTACTCATTAATCTGCCTGACATTCTAAACCCCCAAATCAAATAAGACATTTCTGGCACCCCTTTAATCATCTGAAAGTGGAACGACCCATTTGCTGAGATCAGCCCTCCTCACGCTACGGATATGAGCGCCCTGCTGAGATGAAAATCTAAGGCTGCACTTCAAACCTGCTGCTGAAATGATTCAGATTAAGGACATCACTGCTCAGTGACACTGTTTGACAGAGGTGGTCCACGATGGCAAATCTGACCACATGTAGAGAAAAAGGTTCTAGCATGCACACTTATGTTCCAAAACCTAGTGAGCTGTCTCACTGTGTACCGCCTACTCAGGCGTAATGGAAACTCATTAGTGACTGATTAGAAACGCTCTTCATAGACAACCAACGATCACACTTAGCTGCATCACAAATAGCTTTCCTCACATGAAGCACTCAAAGTGGATTCCTACAGAGTTAACAATAAAGCCTTAATTGCTAAGCTAACAACACAAAACTGTAGCAAGCACATATAATTCACATGCCCGCTGGACACTTTCTGGCTGCTTTTTGGCAGGTTTATTTCACTACAAAACTAATTTTACGCATTTAAACAGACTTTTACATAAAAGTTTTTTCTTGACTGGTTTGTTTGTGAATATATACACTACCTTTTTTCTTTAAACTGAACTCAAAGAAATATCATTCTCATCCAGAAGTGATGCTGCCTTAGAATTTCACCAAAAGCAAGGTATCATCTTCACATTGGGAGCACACTAAGCCTAGAAATGCTGCCTAGGTAGCTTGCTAACTTGTGGAAGAGTGTTATTATTTGGAGTACTTTGAAGAACTCAACCTTGGATAGAGTTTAAAGTTAGCAGCTAATCCCGACCCTAAAAAAAACCTAACAATTGCAGTTCTCAAATAGGCTAATCTTAGAAATAGAAATACTAGTAGTAAATAGAAATACTAGTAGTTAATACACTTTATAATATTGTTGTATTGGTAGTCGATAATGTGAATTGTTTTAGGAAGTGTACTCACAGGATTTCTCTTCTTCTTGTCTTTGTTTTTGCTGGGCTTGCGGTTGCTCACAAAGTAGTGGAGCGTTCCGTACTCAATCAGAGCGGCGAAAACAAAGATGAAGCACACTGATACGAAGAGGTCCATAGCCGTGACGTACGACACTTTGGGTAAGGACTTCCTAGCAATGGTACTCAAAGTGGTCATGGTAAGCACAGTCGTGATTCCTGTGGAGCAAAGTAAATAATACTCAAATAAGAACATGGAGATTTCAATGTCTGTTGCATATGGATTACTGAGGTTATATCTGTAATATGTATCTTTTACATAGCAAGGTCATGTTTGTAGTTTGGCTTTTATTTTCTCACTGTACAAAGACAAGGCCAAAAGCAATAATCACTTAAGAGTCAGAATAGGGCCAAACCCAAAGCCTCCATATCTTCAGCAGAGGATGCTAAAACCTGCACTGGGCCAGAGAAAGCAGATCTTTCCTGAAAGGAAGGAGGTTCCTCCAGAATTGACACAAAATCCGGACTCTTCAAAAGGCTTCTGGGTGGAGGCTCATTGGTGTAAAGGCATACAATTTGGCCTTGGGTGAATCCTGTGCTAGTGCATCCGAGCTCAGCAGTGCTCGAGGAGAAAACCAAACGGGACACTGAGTCATCTTGAGTGAACAGATCCAAACAGATCCAAGTCTGATTTGCGGAATTTCTGCTGTTGTAGAATTTCTGTCTCACAATCTGAGGATGAAGCCTCCACTTCCTGGGCTTCAGACCCTCTCCTTCCCACAACTCCAAACTTGCTACAGTGGTGTTGAAACCCGGGATGAAAAAAAGTTCTTTGCCATGGAGTTCTTGCCCCTCGCTGAGATGGACAATTCACTAGCCAGACTCTACCAAACCCAACATCGGGCCCTCTTGAACTCCTCTGTGCCTGGAAGGAGGACTGGCAGATGCTGTGGAGAATGATGAGCCACAAAGGCAGGGCTGTAGACAAAGAGTCCATTGTTACTCACGTGCCACTCACCAAAAAGGGTCCACAGGATAAACCAGAGGCATTCGTGGTCTCATTCAAGAAGACAGCAGAGGCATGTGGGTGGCCGCATGCTCAGTGACAGGTGTGCCTCACCTGCTGGTGTCCGGAGTAGCATCTCAACAGCTAACCGTGCAGAACTTCCTGGATTATGAACCTCAAGCAGGTCATCCTGTGTGGTCCATACCCTAGAGCAAAAGCAGCAGTGTGTCCGTCGAACTGGGGAAAAACAGTCAGCCGTTTGTGATGATCCAGCAGGTCTGTGACACCTGCCGATCTGGTGGTCCAGCTCATTGCTGAGCTTCCAAAAGATGTAGCCAAATGGGTCCAGTGCCACTGCTCGACGTGCCCCTTTTCTCCTCCCTTTCACTTGCTTTACCTCTCCAGCCCTTCCCTCACTCCCTTTCTCTTCTCAACCTCTCCCTCTACCCAGCTTGTGCAGTAGCATGCCTCCCTGACTGTTGCAATTGGGGGCGAGGCCTGACAACTTCCGAGGCTTCCCTAGTTCCCAAAACCACTGACCCGGGGAGGCGCACTGGCTGGAACAGTGGCTTCCACCTCTCCTTTTCCAGCTACCCTCTCTTTTCATCAGACTATTGCCACCTTCCTGCCACTATGGCCTGCCAGCAATTTGCGGACCTAGGTCATTTCCAGGATCGTTGTCCAGTCACGAAGGTAAAGACTGATGTGTACACAGGGATGTGGTGGACTACCCACTGGTGCCAGTCTGCTTGTCTGGGGACAAAGGCATAGAGTAGAGGTAGTGGTTAGTGCCTCTGGCAAACGCTAATTTTGGGGAAGGATTAGCTACAATTATTTGGGGAGTCTATGTGCAGATGTTCCAGATCTTTGGAAAAAAGTCAGGGACATGGTAGGTGAGGTTCAGATGTTCAGTACAGTTCAGTCCTTTTCAGTACACTTCAGTCCTTTTCAGTTCAGTACTTTTTTCCAAAGGAACTAGCAACTTGCCGGCAGCCATATCACCCTGTAGCCCAAGACTGGTCACCCACTGAAGCTAAGCAGGGTTGAGCCTGGTCAGTACCTGGATGGGAGACTCCTGGGAAAACTAGGTTACTGCTGGAAGAGGTGTTAGTGAGGCCAGCAGGGGGTGCTCACCCTGTGGTCTGTGTGGGTCCTAGTGCCCCAGTATATTGATGGGGACACTATACTGTCAACAAGCACCGTCCTTCGGATGAGACGTTAAACCAAGGTCCTGACTCTCTGTGGTCATTAAAAATCGTACCTGGATGGGAGACCTCCTGGGAAAACTAGGTTGCTGCTAGAAGAGGTGTTAGACAGGCCAGCAGGGGTTCTCACCCTGTGGTCTGTGTGGGTCCTAGTGCCCCAGTATATTGATGGGGACACTATACTGTCAACAAGCACCGTCCTTCGGATGAGACGTTAAACCAAGGTCCTGACTCTCTGTGGTCATTAAAAATCCCAGGATGTCTTTCCAAAAGAGTAGAGGTGTGACCTCGGCATCCTGTCCAAATTTGCCCATTGGCCTCTGACCATCATGGCCTCCTAACAATGCCCATATCTGCTGATTGGCTTCATCTCTCTGTCTTCTCTCCACCAATAAGCTGGTGTGAGGTGGGCATTCTGGGAGCAGGGCATGTCAAGTGTACCACCTCAACCTCCTTAAATAATGCAAGGAGGAGGTTCTGATTGCACTAATGACGGCAGAGGATGATCTTGGGACAAAGGCGAATTCAAAGTGCAATTCTTTCCATCATGTCCACAATAGGATCACCGCTCACTTGCCAAACTGCAAGATGAATTTACAGATGTAGTCTCACCAGTTGTATTAATCTCATACAGCAGCAATTTAAAATGAACCCTGGATTGGTGGTGCATCTACTTATTGCCTCAGTCCAAACAAAAGACAGCCTTCACTACCCTCTTTTGATTACACCCATTTGTGATGCTTCCATTCAGGATCTTCAGGACACCCACACCCACCACCTTAGACAGAATACTTAGGCCAAACGCTGCATGTGCAGGACATCACCGTGTGGATCACCTGTTGGTATCTGGCACTACAGCCCTTTCAGTTCAAGGTGGGCCACGAGCTGGGGGCACAGATGGCAGTAGCAGACTACCTCTCCAGGAATGGGGTGCTGCAGGCCGGACGGTTTACTGGCTTGAGTAGGGAGGTCGGTATGTGGCAGAAAGGGTGTGGTTGAGTGAGGTTGGAAACAGGAGAGCAAGCAATCTGAACTGTGAGTGCTCCATTATGAGGCATCAGTGATGCAACACCTCGGTGGGCAGAGCTTGTGCCATCTGCCAATAAATTGTTGTAGACTGGTGTGTAACTGCCCATCATTTTGCACATCTAGAAGACTCAAATTACATATTCATTAAACAAAAATTAGGAGTTTAGCTCTGATATTTATCTTTTTGTTTCAACATAGCAGATAATTTAGGATTCTCAATGGTAAAACACTGAGGTCAGGAGTCACTGCAGGAAAGATAAACTGCTGAATAAGACAAGTGGCATTTATAGGTAAGACGATAAAAATAAATTATCTTAATGATTGTTTTTTAATTTTACATAATTTTTATTCTCAAGTAAATTTGTTTTAAGGATGTTTAGATTTACTGTATATAAAAAGACAGAAAAAATTGTGTTTCATAACACAAAGTTTGTTTTTCATGTAGAATGTAAACAGAGAGTCTTACCCAAAGAAGTTCTGGCTGGCACTGCATCCTTGTTGATCCAAAATGAAACCCAGGACAGAACAACGATCAAGGTACAGGGGATATATGTCTGGATGGTGAAATAACCCATTCTTCTGCTTAAGTCAAAGAAGACGGTCAGAACCACATAATCTCCTGGGGAGAAAAAAAAAAAATCATATTATAAACAAATGTACACACCTGCTCTCTCGCTATTATTTCAGTTTTCATAAAAAAAAATCCTTCAAAACCATCCCAGCACAGTCTGGGCATTCTATTAACCAACTTCATTCTATTAACGAAGGTGAACAACACTACTGAGTCACCATGTTTCCTTTAAATCAAAGGGATTTTAAGATCACAAGAAACAAATTCAGTCAAGTGTGCCCAAATGTTTGACTGGTAGGGAACCTTTGACTGAATGTGGAAAGACTGTCGGACACAGGGGCTGCTGTTACAGCAATTGACCCATCGGTAATGTAATGAAATGTGATTTCCAATGTTGACTCAGCCCACCCTGTGGTGTATCAGCATGGTTGTAGAGCCCAAGACCCAAGACCAGATCCAGCTGTGCATTGATTTGACTCATCTAAATAAGTAGGTGTGACAAGAAAGACATATCCTCCTAACTGTAGAACAAGCATTCACAATATTTGCAAAAGCCAAGGTATTCACAAAACTGGATGCTACCTCAGGTTTCTGGCAAACTCCATTGTCAGTTGTGGCCTAATGGTTAGAGAGTTAGACTTGAAGGCTGCGGGTTAGATTCTCAGTACTGGCAGTACTGGGTACGTAATTCAGACACAATATCAAGAGCTCGTGTGAACCACATATTCACAGAAGCAGAAAAGGGTAATGAGAGTATGTTAAAGTGTTTGTGGATGCTGTAATGTGAAGCTATCCAGCTACAGAAGCAAGGCTGAATGTGATAAAATAATCAGAACGCAAACTCCATCTGTGCTAAACTCATCCAGAACTATACTGGCCTGAAACAGAAAACCTGCCCATTGCTGGAGACCTGCTCCTCAGGGGCCAAAGAATTGTGTTTCCCCATGCATGAGGCAAGAGATCCTCAATAGTATACGCAAAGGACACCAAAGTATTGTCAAGTCCAGAAATTGGGCCTGTCAGTTTGTCTGGTGGCCAGGACTATCCTTGCATAATTCAAACCTCCCTGTTGAGAATAATTCATACCTCCTTGTCGAGGATTATTTTTCATGCTACAGTGAAGCCAGTGTTGGGTAGTAGCTAGCTACAAGTAGCGACGCTACTAACGTAACTACATTTTTTAGTAGCGTGACGGTAGCTCTTTAAAACAGTGTAGCTTTTCCAGTAGCGAACTACGTTTTCCAGCAAGTAGCGGTGTAGCGCAACCAGACGCTACATTTTTTTTTTACATGTTGCGTTCTGACGAGTCACGAGCCTGTAAGGCATTGAAGCAGCACAGCGTCTTTTTCTGACTCGATCACAAACTAAATTTGTTCATTACCGCCATCTGTTGTGATATCACACATCTCGCGGCTTTACAGTCTGTCCATCGACAACAGATTGACGATTTTGCAAAGGATGTACAGGAGTGAATATTTCACATGAATCAACTGTAATTTATGCAAAATAAAGATTAAAATGCGGTCAAAGATTTAAAGCACATACAGGAGGTAATTAACAGCCTTTTCAAACTGATTAATTTTCCTGCTTTATTGCACTCTATATCAAATGTCTATTTTACAATGATGAACCGTCATAATATAATCTGTCCCTCCACAGTTTTGTTGTGAACACTAATCGAACAGAAAATAAAATCGCGATATAGTATTATGCTTATCATTTGGCAAAGGATGGTTGCGGTGGGATTTCACACAAAAGCGCGGCTGATGATTGATGTCTCAGAGCGGCTCCATTCACAGTCAGTAAATACCGCGTGTGCTGTGAGTTTAACCTGCTTATTTTACGACTCCTCCATATCAAGGTTAAGTTGCATATATTTTGTTCTTGCATTGATGTTACGTTTGTAGCAATTTTGCACTTTGACAGTCAGTTCGATTTAATATAACTATATAACTATATTTTATTATTGTGTGTATCGGATAGTTTATAAAATCAAATGATTGGGACACTTTTTGTAATTGAAATGACTTGAAAATGTGTCCCAATCAACCTGAATTCAGCCTACATGAAATTATCATGCAATCATGATTGCATTACAATATGTTTTAAACTCCAAATATTTTACTCATAACTTCATTGTAATTCTTCATACAATTATTCAGTTATTTGTAATGTCAATTGTAAAATAATAACAATAATATTAATAATTAAAAAAAAAATTGAAAGTAGTTTCAATGTAGCTAGCTACTTTTTGATAGTAACTTGTAGTTTAGCTAGCTACTTTTTCAGAAGAGTAGCTTGAATGTAACAACTATTTTAATTTACGAGTAGCCTCTTGCATGACTGGATTTCTAGAAAAGATAAAAATTGATGCAAAAAACATTTGCAATTGGTCTAGGGTTTACATGTAAACAAAAGAAGATTTGTTCTTACTAATAAGTGTTACATGTTACATATACTTAGTATTATAATAACAATAAATTATGCATAATTACATGCAAGTCACCCTAAGCCAATCCCTAATACTAACCCTAACCATATAGTAAGTACATGTAGTTAATTAATATTACTCAGTACTTAAATGTATAATTACACTGCAACAAGGACACCTTAAAATAAAGTGTGACCGTATCTTGCATGTTACTAGACAGATCTAATCGAGTGTAACATGTCTTCATGTGTTCTATAGTAAAAGGCTATCCTTTGCACAGCATATCTGTCTAGCTAATGCAATAGTCGTTGTACAGGCTTTGTTTGTTGCTCTTCCTTATTGACTGCGGAATCTCTGCAGTTTTCTATGTTTTTGATAATAATCTTACCTAGTGCACCTTTAAAGACCTCCCTTTTTAAAAAGTTAACGATGAGAGTGAGGTAACCTAATTGCATTTTTCTGACACAACACTTCCTTCCTTATTTCTCGCTTGCTGATGGAATCATTGGGGTACCTACACCTGCAGTGCTTCATAAATACTGAGCCTATTCTTTCTACTGACAGGGCACTTTTCTGATGGACTACTCCCAAATTATGCTTACCGTGGTCCACCATTTCAATATGTATTCATTACGACCTGCATTAGATGAAGCCCCTAAGCAACAGTCTGTCTTTTTTCTGCTGGCAAATTGCTGTAAAAACACCCTAATTTAGCATACTCAGCAAAGTCAAAGTCAAGGACCATTACTGTCTGTGTTTACTAATAAGACACCACCCTAATGGCTCCCATGACCTGCTGTCAAAAACACCGGCTGAAAGTGTTTGATGGGTTTTGCAAGACTCATTAGAGGAGACTTGTGGACCAGAGAAAAAAATGCTACATGCAAATGATATAGTGTAACTGGAAAACTTCTGTAACGTTGAGGAGCAAGTGAAGGCATGCGGGGACATGGATTTAAGCCCAGGACATTTAATGAAATAAGCTAGATCAAATAATAAACCAAAAACACAAGGAACAAAGAACAGAAATACAGGCAAACAGGCAACCATTACATTCACCAACAGACAAAGCACAAGAGAAACACAAGGGCTATATATATACATATACACTGTATACACACACACACACACACACACACACACACAGGAGAACAAAACGACCAATGAGTTATTATGGGAATGAACAAGGTAGGGTTGTGAGTGACTATGGCAACCAATGAGGGTAACATGTAACAACATTTTATTTTTTTAAACTGTAACCACTTAATAATGAATATATATATCAAGTAAATAGAGGGATCTCAAGTATCAATGTGATAATGTGAGAAATAGAATTGTGATATATCATTGATACAGTGGCAATTTCTGAAATATACTTTATGAAAATAATAACAACAATAATGTAAAAAATAATACTTCTGCAAAACCATAATGTTACCAGAATAATTATTCACGACCATCAGCACGAGCATGTTCTGTATCGTCTATACTGCAGTAAATTGCAAAGTAATCAAGAAGGGTAATATATGAATTAAGGAGAACATAATTTTGAAATGTGATGAATTTTTTAACCCTTACGCATAACTGATGTTAAAGCTGCAGAGGCGGAATGTGTTTTTGAACTAAAAATGATTTCTTCCTGTTGCTGTTTCTTTCCAAACGAAATCTAGAAGAAGGTACAGGGAAGTGTATCTCTCTAAGTGTTCTCTGCTCAGATGCTGTGAATGTTTGACTGAAGTAGCTGCGTCATCTCCACTGCATTTATTTCATTCTCAGCTCACGGACTTCAAAGCAGCCCAGTGCCTAATGAGAGCACAGCGCAGCACCTCAAAGGCTGAATCTGCCAGGAGATCTCATCTGACAGTCTGCTTGCCTGTAATGGAACAAATGGTGCACGAATAAAAAAAAAGAAGAAGATGATATGAGATGTCTGCTTGCCTTTTATCTCTGCACAGTGGGAACATTCCCAGGCTTCTCTTTGAGGGCAGCGTTTTTTATATCTCGCTTTTCCTTCTGTCTCTTTCATGCATTGTTGAGACCTATATGCAAATCACAAGCAACCATGAACAGAAAGAAAGCTTGCCAAAAGATGGTTAAAATAGCTTCAGCACAAGCCAGGGACCTCTATGTACAAATATTGCTATGCACAAAATTGTCATTAAAATGTGTGTAATTTTGCATTTAGATATTTTTATTAAAAAATACTAAACTGAATGATTTTAGCAATGCAATAGCACAAATATCATTTGCAGCCAATACCTCATATTTTCCTAACATCTTGTAGGGTTCCCAACTCTATTTCTGGAGCCCCCCGACATTGCACATTTTGTAAGTCTCCCTAATTAAACGCATGTGAATTGTTTTAATCCTTGTCGCTTAAATTTAGAAAAGAACGTAATAATGATTAAGCATTGCTGTAAAATCACTTATATCTTAAGGGCCTTTTTTTATTAGAATTTGGTTGACCTTCAAATGTGGAAAAGCCTTATAACGTTTTACATCTAAGCTCCATGACAGTTACATAACTAGCTCTGTCAAGCTGTGTTGCAAACCCATCCAGACACCAAAGATCCCTTTTATTCTCCCCTTTTTAACTGGTTTTAAAGAGGCTTATCTT